CTGGACCGACATAATGGCTGATAAGGATGCCGAACGCAAACACCTCATCGTCTGCTGTTATGGTATAACCAGCGAGCGCAGAAACTCCACTCAGTGTCCCGTTTTCGCACGCAGTACTTCTCAGCGGACATCCCTTGCATCCGACTTTTCAAGGTGCCATCGACACCAGCAATCGGTAGCGATGCCAGATACTCCGGCATCAATTCAAAATTGTGATACATATAGACGAGCAACTTCGTGAGTAAGTCGGCATTAAGGAGGTTGTACCGTGAGAGTCCAGAACCGTCAACAAACCGATGCACCGGTGGCTCGTCCATGATTTCCTCTAAAAACCCGGTGACGACTTCTCTTCCTTTTTTCCACGTCCCCGGTTCACCGATAACTTCAGCACCTATTGTCTTGAAAAGCAATTCAGCGATCCAATTGTCACTCGGTTTGTTCATCAGTTTGAGAATGTCGGCGAGTGGCGGCGATAGATGTTTGGCTACGCTGTGTGCATCTGATGAGACTGTTCCTGGAACTACATCACCCATTACGTTAACGCCTTTTTCCATAAGCGTAGTTTTCAGGAGATGTCCACAGGCAAGTGCCCTGCTCACTTTGTTTGCATCGGGTTCGATTTCTCGGATACTCAAAGCACTGATCCACAGCGGTCTGTCGTCCCACATCCACCCCGGACCTTCCCAAATGGCATCGAGATATGTTTCATCAACGACGATCTCACCCTGTATCGACTTCACACCGATTTGAAGCAACGCATCACCCAATTTTACAACGTCTTGAGGTTGGAGCACTGGGTCAGCCCTACCTTTTAGATAGATGTTTCCTACGACTTCACCCTTTACAATGGCATCAGCATAGAGTGTTGTCTCAAATTGGTAGTCCGACCCCAGTTTCGCTAAGGCAGTCGCTGCCGTGAAGAGTTTCGTTGTAGAGGCAGGGTGGTGTAACTTGCGGCTATTTTTTTCGTAAATCACTTCCCCTGTTTCAACGGCAACTACCTTGATACCGATGCTTGCAGTTGTGAACAACACTTCCTCTAAGACAGCATCAATATTGGCGTGTAGTTTTCCGAGCGGGTCTACAGGGGTTGCCGGCGGTTCGGTTTGAATCGGCGTGGTAGCGAATATCCCACAACCTGAGAGCAACAGCGCACCGCAAAATAGAAAGATAGCAAAGATCTTCATGATTTTTAATAGTACCACATTTGAGTGAATTATCAAAATACAAACCGATTATAACTATATATGCCGACTTCAGGGGTTCAAAATGGACGCAGCACAAGGCTTTTATTTTCCCGTTGGTGCTCCGTAAAACACAGGCAAAATTTGACTTTTACCCTGAAATGTGATAAAATATCAGTAGGTAGATTAGACAGGGATTACGACCTAAAAGTATAAAAGGAGACACTGAATTTTGGCGTTGTAGGGCGAAGCTTGCAAGCCTTTATGCAAAGCCGCAAGCTAAAACTTGCTGTGAAAACAACATGGTTGAATTTTATGATACGACACTCAGGGATGGCAGCCAAGCAGAAGGCGTAGCGTTTTCTGTTGAAGATAAACTCATCATCATAGAGGCACTCGATAAGTTAGGCATCCGCTATATTGAGGGCGGTTATCCCGGTTCTAACCCGAAAGACATAGAATTTTTTAAGCGGGCAAAAGGCATAGCACTGGAGACGGCAACAATTGTGCCGTTCGGTAGCACGCGCTATCCTACCTATACCGTTGATGCTGATCCAAATCTAACCGCTTTACTGGATACAGGGGCAAGAACTGTAACGATCTTTGGAAAAAGTTGGAGACTCCATGCCACTGATGTCCTACGTGTCACAGCAGAAGAAAACCTGGAATTAATTGAAAGTTCTGTGCGTTATCTCGTGGAAAATGGTCGCGAGGTAATCTACGATGCCGAACATTTCTTCGATGGCTACGCCGACGATGCTGAATATGCAATAGAAACGCTACGAGCCGCTGCCACTGGCGGCGCGAGTTGCCTCGTTCTCTGTGATACAAATGGTGGCAGATTACCATTAGAAATTCAGGAAGGTGTCAAAGTCGTCCTCTCCGAACTGTCATTGCCTGTCGGTATCCATACCCACAACGACGCAGGAATGGGTGCCGCAAACTCAGTGCTCGCCGTACAAGCAGGGGCAACCCATATACAAGGCACTTTCAACGGCTACGGTGAACGGTGCGGAAACGCAAATCTTGCCTCCATTATCCCCACAATTCAACTCAAACTCGGAATAAAGTGCCTCAGCGATACGCAATTGCAGGCGTTAACAAGGGTCTCCCGACTCATCAGTGAATTGGCGAACCTCCCGCATGATGAACGTCAACCTTATGTTGGAAGTTCCGCCTTTGCGCATAAAGGCGGTTTACATACCGATGCCATCCGTAAAAACCGTCTCACCTATGAGCATATCGTGCCGGAAACGGTCGGTAACACACAACGGATTCTCGTTTCCGACCAAGCAGGACGCGGGACCATTATGAAGAAAATCGAGAAGGAGTATCCCGATTACGACAAGAATTCACCACAGGTGCTGGAACTCTTCAAACGTCTCAAAGAGGCGGAACAGGAAGGCTACCAATACGAAGCCGCCGAAGCATCGTTTGAACTCTTGACGCATAAGGTATTCAATGGATACGAATCCTTCTTTGAGCCTGTCGGTTTTCGCGTGATTATCGAACAGTTCAGTGACTACGCCATGCGTTCCGAAGCAACCGTAAAGGTTACGACCCCAGACGGTCTTACCGCACATACCGCCGCTGATGGAGATGGACCTGTCAATGCCCTTGACACTGCACTCCGAAAAGCGCTTGAGCAGTTCTACCCCGCTTTACAGACAGTTCGACTCATAGATTACAAAGTTCGGGTCCTGGATACAAAAGCAGGTACCGGTTCTAAAGTCCGCGTGCTGATCGAGGCAAGCGATGGTGAGAGGACTTGGAGTACCGTCGGTGTTTCAGAGAATATCATCTCCGCAAGTGCGAAGCACTGATAGATAGTTTTGAGTATAAACTCTATATAGACAAAGCCCTCGTCGCTTCGTCGCAAACTTTTTAATTTTACCTTGCGGTTAAACGACGTAGGTTAAAACTTTGAAGTGCCTTTCTTAAGGGTCGCCTGCGCCGTTGTTGCAGGCTTAGGGTTCGGTTTTAGGGGAGTGACGGATGCCATTGAGACACAATAACCTCACCTACAAATAACGTTCAAAAACACCTTACCTCGAGGGCACCGTGCCTCACATCTTTGGGGGAACACATGGGACATTTAGACACAATTGAAAAAGAAGCACAGAAATTGATCGCACTCTGTCAAAAAGAAAAGCAAACAAAAACCGACAAAGACAGGATGCTCGTAATACACGCCGAGATCCTTACAAGCATCGAAAACCTCGACGAATGCGAACTCTGTGGCGCAATCACAGAAATGATTGTAACGATGACCTTGGCTGATGTCACAGCGAAACTGTGTAAGGGTTGTGGTGTCAAATCACTGGAAGTAGGAAAAATTCAGGCTTCCAAACAGGGGACATCTCGAAAACGGACCCACCGTGCGAAGACACCGACTTCTGCCACAGCGGAATCAAAGCCCAAAACCAGTAGCGCACCTTCCAAACCTGCAGCACCCGTTGAAGAACCAGAAACTCCCGCCATGCTACATACCCGCGTTGAAGCACAGACCGGCATCAAGAAAGCCGATGTGAAACGTCTCCATAAGATTGTTCAGGACATTGCCGCCCCAATGAGTGCCGAACATACGCTTACTTATGTCCAACGCGAAGCAGAAATAGCAAAAATAAAGGTAGACGCAAATGCATTAAAAAAGGCGGTCACCCTACTGACTTGACAATAACGGATCGCAAGGCACGGCTACAGTTTAGTCCGTCTGGATATGCTTTGCCCATTCGCGATTCGTCTGATACCACTCCACAAGTGCGGTAATCCCTTGACGAAACCTGACTTGGGGTCGCCAACCTAAAAGTTCTTCAGCTTTTCGGATGTTTGCCCACGTGGCGCGGACATCTGCTGGGTGAAACGGTTGGTGTGAGAGTTCGGCTTTCCTACCAACCAGTTCTTCTATCAACCGAATCGTATCAATAAGCACAATGGGACTATCGGAACCGAGATTAATCACCTCGTATTCGAGCGGTTTCAATCCCGCAATCACACCACGGGCAATGTCTTCGAGATAGGTATAATCCCGTGAGGATTGTTTGCCATCACCATAAACGGTAACCGGTTTCCCTTCACTAATCCACTGGACGAACCGAAACGCGCTCATATCGGGTCTGCCGGCGGGACCATACACCGTGAAAAAACGGAAGATTGTCACGTCAATACCATAGAGATGATGGTAACTATGGCAGAGCGACTCGGCACCCTTTTTTGAGGCAGCGTACGGAGACAGCGGTCTGTCTGTGCTTGCTTCCTCACTGAACGGAAGTGGATTATTTTCTCCGTAGAGGCTTGACGTAGAAGCCAACACAAATTTCTTCACCTCAAATTCGCGGCATAACTCCAGCAGGTTCAATGTACCGGTTACGTTCGTATCAACGTACACCCACGGATTCTCGACGGACTGGCGCACACCCGCACGCGCCGCGAGGTTAATCACAGCGTCAAATGTAGGGGTATCCCTCGTGGATACCGGCTCGAATATTGTCCGCAGCACATCCCGCTCGCAAATGTCTGAACGATGAAAATGGAAGTTTGGGGTGCCTTCAAGTTGATTAAGTCTCCACCGCTTGATCTGCGTGTCATACGCAGCGTTTAAGTTATCGACCCCAACGACGGTGTGTCCCGCCTCCAGCAAGAACTCGGTCACTTTCCATCCAATAAATCCAGCGCAACCGGTGACGAGATATTTCATAACTGCTCCCTTCGTTTTTCAGCGAAACTTGCTACCAAAACTCACAACCTGCCTTAAACGCTTCAAAACGCTCTTGAAACATTGACAGTGCCACTTCCGACAACTCATACCGCGTTTGGGTGTCCGTCTCCAATTCTTGTAATTCGGTCTCGTGCTGCGACAGTAGCGCGTCAAGTTCCTCAACTTCCTGTTTCAACGCAAGGATCGCTTCAAATGCTGCGGTTTCACTGGTACATGCTGTCAACAATTCGTGATAAAGCGTCACGCCGCCATCAAGTCTTTTGAAGTCGCCATGTATCCGATTCAGAACACTACGATAACTCTCTGGAACTATTGGGCTTTCCGAATCTTCTAATGCCTTTAAGGCAGTGTTTAGCTGCGTCAGTTCAATCTGTCTATTGGACCAAAGGACCTTCTTCGCAACACCATCAACGTTGTCGTTATCCATAACAGGAGCGTGCTTCTGTAGATTATCGTGAAGTTGTGTTTCCAATTCAATTAACCCGGCTTGAAACGCTTTGATACGGCGTTTGAATTCCTCGGAATGTACCCGGACTTCAGGAAACTTCTCATGAAGTGCTTCATACTCCTCTTTTAGTTTGTGAACCTTCAAGATGTAAGTAGGATAACGCACCTTGAGGTGCTGAAAAAGGGAACGCACCTCCTGCGAGTTTCCTTTGGTCCATTTTCGTTTGCCTTCTACTATCCCCATGAACCCGTATACCGCAGCAGAAAAACCACAGACCGTCAAAATCCACACCAAAATAAAAAAGAGTAAGTCATCCGCGGCTATACGCATCGCGAAGAAACCGAATCCGACCAGTAACAGACCGACAACAAGGGCAAAGATCGGATTAGACAAATAGGGTTCTATTTTAATCTTTGTAGACATTTTCCCTCCATCACAGAGGACATTATGCGGTCGGAGCAAGATGCAAATATACAAGAGATCAATTTGCGTCGGGGGTTGCTAAAAGCCTGTCGATTTCTTTCTTGAGTTCGGCGTAAATTTTTGGCTTGAAGTTCGCTTTTCGGTGGAACACAATAGTACCGTTTTGCGAGATTAGATAAAGCGTGGGTTTCTTTTCTCCCGTCTGATACCGCTTATGCACTTCTCCCTTCCAATCCAGCAGGAATCCCACAGGGGGCGGGTTTTTCTTCAGTTGACCTCTGATAAACCGTTTCGGTATGAACCCAGGAACGCTCCGTAAATCACCAATGATATAGGCGACAACCTGTTCGTTCTCTCCGTACGCCTTCTGGAACGCCTCTGCCCACTTGTCATCTTCCTTCCGAATCTTACGATTGCCCATAATGAGGAAAACGACCTTGCCGCGCAACTTCTTTAGATTGTGCTCCTTTTCCTCGGCGTCTTGGAGCGTCCAATCCGGTGCCGTGTCGCCCACTTTCGGCGGTGCTGTTTCGGTTTGTTCATCGGCAAAAGCGACGAGCATCCCAAAGAAGATAATACTAACGGTAGCAGCAATAAACAGTTTCATGGTAGTCCTCGATTTCTGGTGTTTCCTATCCACATTCTAACACGCTCTGGTAACAAATGTCAAGTTGACTTTTCCCAAAAAACCTGCTACGCTATTAGACAAGAAAATTGTACTAACAACCGTTTTCCATATTATAGAATTCGCAATTGTTGTTCGCACTCGGAGATTACGCTTAACACCAAAAGATATGAATGCTGAACGTACCATCCCTACACTTTTGAATCAGATTCGGGAGGAAGTCCTCCCGTACATCGCACACCCGTCGGAGCTCCAGACGACTGCGAGCTTGCAAGACCTCAGGAGTCGGCTTCACAGCCTCCACTATTACTGCATCCGCTCACAAATTCCCGGTCCGGTTTGCAACCGTGTAGAGATCTTGCTTTCAACGAGTTCAGACCTTTGGCATCTCATCGCTGAAAACGAGTTGATGCTGAAAAACCTGAAAGAGTATACACGCGTGCGTACCTTCTCCGCAGAAGCAGAAGGGGTTACCAATATTGGGGAACTCATTTCTGGCGAAGATACCCTCCGCGATGTGCTCATCAATAGTGTTGCTTTTATGCTCAATTGGAAGGCAAATACAATCTGGGTGGACTCTGCTAAACGGGCACGCACCGCAATGGCAAAAAATTATATGCTGGAGATCCAGGACCGCGTTTGGCAGTTCATCAAAGAGAGCACAGTGGAAACAGAAGACGATGACTTAGAAAAAGCCGAACAGGTCCGAGAACGTGCAGATAGACTGCTCGCGGTCGTTTATGCCAGCGATTTGCCAACAGAGGCACAGGTTACACTCCTGATGCAAATCTATACGCTACTACTGCGACTTCAACTCGGTCAACTGATTATTCAATTGGAAACCCTTCAAGGGCAGGAGAACGGAACAGACGCATGAAAACACGCCTTTTCGGTGCATCTTGTAGGTTTCCGAAATTTGCTATCAGAGGTCTACGTTCCAATAATTTATTCCGTAGCATGAGGATTGTATGCTGGAACATACTCCTGCTGCTTCTGCTCCATAGCGCGTTCGCCGCTGATATGCCTACCGTGTCGCCGGGCACAGAAGTACGCATCACAGCCCCAAAAACAGGGAAGACCTTTCTGCTTTACGTCCCTATTGATTACACCGATAAACGTCCATTTCCGGTTATTTTTTGTTACCACGGCTACCGCGGGACAGCCACAACCTGGCCCTTCAAACAGGTGACAAAGGGGCAAGGATTCATCGTTGTCGGTATGAATTACGCAACTGACCTCTATTACAACAAACTCCTCCCACCGAAACGGCAAGAGAAAAAATCTTCTTCGATGAGGCGTTAGAACTGACTTCAGCACGGGTGAATGTTGCCAAAGAATACATTTTCATGGGCGGTTATAGCCAAGGCGGCTACTCAACTACCGTTTTCGGAGAACAACTGTTAGATCGGTTAGCGGGGAGTCTCGTGCTTGGGGCAGGCAGGCGCGATGTGGACATGAATCCACCACCAGCGGAACTCATCCGCGGACATCCATTCTTCTACGGTGTGGGAGAACTGGATGATCCGCATTACCCACGCGCAAAACATGCTTTGCAGTTTTATACAGAATGCGGTGCAGATGTGACTTTTGAGGGTTGGGAAAATGAAACACACAGTCTTTCTCCAAAGTGGTTGACAAAAACAAAAATGCGGGAGTGGCTTATCAATTACGGACCCATGAAACAGGTTGAATCTGGGTTTGAAAAGGCGCAAACTGCAGAGAAGAGCGGTAAATTGGGTGAGGCGTTCACACTTTATACCCAAATTGCGGAGATTTTACCTGACACAGAACTGTGCCGCACGGCGAAAGAATCGGCAACGCGTCTCCGCACCCAAGCTGAGACGCAATTTGATCAGCTAAAAAAGACAGCCGATGAGAAACCCTACACCGAAACGGTAAAGGCATTAGAAGTATTCCGCGATAAATATGTCGGTAGCGTCTTTGCAGAACGCGCATCACAACTGCGCAGTGAACTGCTAAATGCGAGAGCAGATGCGTTAGAAGGTCGAGCACGCGAGGCAGAAGCACAGAAAAACTATGCTCGTGCGTTGCAACTCTACAAACTTTATCTTACCTACTTCCCGGAAGCAAAACGCTACGCGGAAGTCCAAAAACATGTAAAAATTTTGAAAAACAAAACAGGAATGAAGTAAGGAGGACTCTATGCAAAAAGAATTGTTTGAAGAACTTATCGGTGTCATAGCGACATTAAGAAGTGAGAATGGGTGTCCGTGGGATCGGGAGCAGACACATGAAACGCTGAAATCCACACTCATTGAGGAAACCTATGAAACGCTTGAAGCGATCGATGCAGGCGACCCGAAAAAATTGAAAGAGGAATTGGGCGATCTCCTGCTGAACATCATGCTCCAAGCACAGATCGCAGCAGAACATAAGGATTTTGACATTTACGCCGTGATCGAAACACTAACAGAGAAACTCATTCGGCGACATCCGCATGTCTTTGGCGATGTCACTGTTGAGGATTCAGACGAAGTTGTGAAAAACTGGGAAGAGATTAAACGCCAGGAGGCAGGCTACGAAGACCGGAAATCAGTACTTGACGGGATTCCGGATGCGCTTCCAATGTTGCTCCGTGCCCAGAAGATACAGAATCGAGCCGCGCGTGTCGGTTTCGACTGGGATAAACTCACCGATGTCATCGCCAAAGTTGACGAAGAACTCGAAGAGGTTAAGGCAAGTATCAGCGCAGATAAACCAGAAGCAATTTCGATGGAAATCGGAGATCTGTTCTTTGCCGTCGTCAATCTGTGTCGCTTTATGGAGATCCAAGCCGAAGAAACATTGCGAGGGGCGAACCGTAAGTTTATGACCCGCTTTAAATGGATGGAAGCAGAATTAGAACGCCGCGGCACAAATTTTGAAGCACAAGACTTAGAGAGTCTCGATGCAATCTGGGAAGAAGCGAAAAAAGCGGAAGTTGACACGGATTAATTCTGTCTTTATACGAATCCCCTGACATAGAGATTTAGGCTTCGGAACAGGAACATAGGTGGACCAATGGCAAACTCACTACTGGATCTGTTGATACAAAAGTGCGAAAATCATCCAGACTATGAACGGTACACCGAACTCTTTAATCGATTGGATCCAACAGGATCGCCGCAGATAGAACTGGTGCACCGTGCAGCACCATCAATATCTGAACGCGGTAAAAAACTCGGCATTTTTTCAGGTTCCTTTAATCCGCTAACGCTTGCACATGCCAAGATGGTCGAGGATACAATTGCTGAATACCAGTTGGACGAACTGCTCTTACTCCTTGCGAAGGCGAATGTAGATAAAACGGTATTCGGCTTACCACTTGCCGCGAGACTTTTGATGCTCAAGAGGTACGCGGAGAATCGACCAAAGTTTTCCGTAGGTGTATCAAGCCACGGCAGGTATATTGATAAAGTCACGGCTTTAAAAGTTATTTCACCACCAGAAACCGAGTTCCACTTTATCGTTGGTTATGATACCCTCGTGAGAATTTTCGATCCGAAATACTACACAGATTTCCATGCGGAATTGGGAGAACTCTTTATAGAAGCCCGTTTCATTGTTGCGAACCGAGCGGAGGCAGATATCAAGACAATAGAGTCTTTCATGAACCAACCGGAAATTCGCCGATATATTCCCTACGTTTCATGCCTTCTACTGCCCGATGTTTACGCTGATATGTCTTCAACAGAGGTGCGCGAACTGTTAAAGCGGGGCGAAGCCATTGAACACCTCGTGCCACCCAGTATCCTCGCCATGCTTGACTAATTTTTAATTTTTCCTTGCGGTTAAATAACGTGCATTAGAACTATCGGAGGCGTCCCTTAAATCCGCTCTCCATTACATTACGAGCTGCGGGTTTTGATGCTATCTTACCCCAAGTTGCCCTCTTTGTAGCATAACCTCTTAGGTTGTGCATCTTCGGGGTACAGGACGCTAACAGTTTCCTACACTACAAGGAGGAAACCTTCGTTAGGCGATAGCCTCTTTACAGACTGCTGATTGCCGACTGCCAATCGCTAACTGCTATTTACGCTACAAAAGCGCGGCATGCATCCGTCCTAAATATGTTTCTATTTTGCTACATACGCCATAGATTCCTGGTCCTATTGTGTTTAATTATCCACATTTTTATGACTTATCCCCCCATTTTGGCATCTCTGCGATGGCATGATTCTTGCTATTTCCTAAGCACTGGTCCATTAGTTGGAAAACTTAACATACAAATTTGAAACCGACTCATAGATGTTTTCGTTTATTACATGCAATAATTCAGGCGATAAACTCAAAATTTGAGAACGCCAGCAGGTTCATATAGAGCCATTATAAAAATCCCATGTTGAGGAGAACGTACGATGTTCAATGGAGTAGAAATCATTATCGGCAGTTTGGGTGCCCTCATCGGTATCGGTGGCGGGTACCTAGTCCTCTCTGCCTTCTTCGCGGGTATCCGGCATATCACGAAGCCTGGTGCCGTTGAAGTCAAAGAGACGGCACGAAAGAAATAGTCATTGGACTCATAGACTACGCAGAGCCATTCAGTTTTCCGTTTTTTAGTCAGATTTTGGGGAGCCATGCCCGGTAGGAGCGGTTTGTAACCGCTCCGAATATTGAAAAAGGACGTTCAAACTCCGAAGAATCCGATGAATTTTTAAAACTAAATAACCCTGTAGGCTACGCCAACAGGCTTGACAATTGAAGTATTTTGTGTTATAACGTTATAAGCATCCGCGGAGGGTTTACCACCGCACGCTTTTTCGCGCCTGATACATTGTAAAACACGACGTTTACATTGAAAACGAACAGCGGCAGCTATGCAGTATCGCTCCCTCCATTCATGGAATGTTACCCCTGAAGAAGCACGGAGGCTCCAAAATGGACTCCGCACGCAAGTGGTTAGAACAGACCAGTTTGGGAAAATAAATACCGTTGCTGGGTAGATATCGGACTGAAAAAGGACATCGCATTCGCATCCGTGGTAGTCCTCAGTTTTCCCGATTTGCAGGTGGTAGATAGCGTGGTTACTGAAAGCCCTGTTCGTTTTCCTTATATACCGGGGTTGTTGTCCTTTCGGGAAATCCCGCCGCTACTCGCAGCATTCACGCAGTTGCAAACCGAGCCTGATCTGGTGATAGTAGACGGACAGGGGATCGCGCACCCAAGGCGGTTTGGACTCGCATCGCATTTGGGACTGATTTTGGATAAACCGACGATTGGATGTGCCAAATCCCGGCTTTGTGGACAATACGAGGAACCGAAATCGGAACAGGGATCTTATACGTACCTGATGGATAAAGGAGAGGTAATCGGTGCCGTTGTTCGCACGCGCAGGAATGTTCAGGTGGTGTACATATCCATAGGACACCGAATCTCCTTGGATTCAGCACGCACATTGACACTCGCATGTTGTCGAGGCTACCGTTTACCTGAAACGACCCGTTATGCGCACAAGGCTGCATCCAGTAAAGTCCCCCAAAATACGCCAATGATTCCAACACCATGAATGATAGCAATTCGCTCCACTGGTCGTTTGACTACAATTACGGTGCGCAAAACCCCCAATTTGCACAGGAATTAATCAGAACTCTTCGCGGATATGACCCGGAAGTTGGCACACACAGCACCCAGACAGCGCAGACGATCACACATGTTTACAATGTACTGCCGAACTATTGGCGCGGCTATAATAATAGGGGAGGTAACACGGAGACACTGAGCATCGGAACAGCCGTCATTGAACGGAGCAAACACGACAATCTGTGGCACTACTCTGTCAAATACGAGAATACAACAAGTGGCGAGAATCTGCGAATGCAATTCTGTTGTAGTGATGAAAATTACCGTCCGCTTAGGGATAAGTGGAGCGTCGATGCCCGAAATAGTGCCGACGATGCATATTCTCAATTGGTATGCGCCGGCTATCTCACCTCAGATTCAGAGGTGCGGCTGCGCATCAACGACGCTGAAATCGCTGCAGGAACAGTGGATGCTTCTGTCAAATTGACGTGCAATTGGGCACTCTTCGATGTGATTCCCACGCTTGCCCAAACAATTCAAGAATCAGACGATGGGATAGACATTGCTGTGCTCGAAGACTTGGAGCAACTTAGACGAAAAAGCAGACTCGGCTTCCTTGAATCGATAGAGATCCCTATTCCACTTGAGGGCTATTACCTTTACGGTGTTGGGCTTCTGCCCTCGTATTGGTGGCTTGATGCACACGGAAACATCGCCATCGCTTCGACCTTTTTCGAGACGCTGGTGCTTAGAGAGAAGACGGGGGATCGTGTATGAACGAACGCCCCAATATTCTTTTTATCAACACCGATCAGCACTCGTGGGATGCAATCTCGGCTTACGGAAATCCGTTCCTTCGGACACCCAATATCGATGAACTTCATCGGAACGGAACCTCCTTTCGCAGGTCGTTCTGTACCGACCCAGTGTGTGCCGCCGCTCGTTCCAGTTGGGCGACAGGTTTATATACCTCCGAAACAGGTGTTCCGTTTAACGGTGGATATTTGCACCCAGAGATTCCTGATCTTGGGCAATTGCTCAACACAGGTGGTTATAAGGCATTCCACTGCGGCAAGTGGCATGTTCCGGGCAGAAATGTCCGCGAGAGTTTTCAGACCCTCTATTACGGGCGACGGGACATTGGGGCAGGCGGTGCCGCATACTACGATTCAGCATCCACTCACGCAGTTGCTGATTTCTTGACGAACTACGATGGCGACGATCCGTTTTATCTCCAGATCGGTTACGTTGATCCGCACGACGTGTGCGAATATTTGCACAACCATGAGGAAAAACGTATCCCAAATCCACTGGAGCAGGGAATAGTTTCGGAAGACGATCTGCCGCCGCTTCCAGAAAACTTCGATTACGATGAACGGGAGACGGTGTTACATCGGGTCTGCCGAAGGGTTGACGACGCGCTTATCCACGCGGCTATTCTTAAAGGGATCCGTGGTTGGGATGAACGCCATTGGCGTTATCTGAGATGGAACTATTACAGGTTCATCGAAAAAGTTGATGCAGAGATCGGAAGAGTCCTCGCGCTGCTGCGAGAGACATCGCTGCACCACAATACGCTCATCATCTTCAGTGCGGACCACGGGGAGGCATGCGGTAGCCACCAGATGTTCCAGAAATTTACGCTCTATGAAGAGAGCGTGAGAGTGCCGTTCATCGTCGCGTGCTTGGGAGAAGAGGTTCCTATAGAGAAAGATCGGTTTGACGAAACGCATTTCGTCTCTGGTGTCGATCTATTCCCTACCGTCTGTGATTACGCCGGTATTGAGGTGCCTGATGGGGTACAGGGACTAAGTGTCCGTCCATTGGCAGAGGGGAGAGATGCTCCTTGGCGCGATTACGCCTACATAGAGAGCAATTACTGGGGACGCGCAGTTGTCACTGATCGGTATAAATACGTTACAGAATACAAACCTACTTCTAACAGCAAGTTTGGGGTAGAGGACTTCCAGCCTCCTGGACCAGATGCCGATCAGCTTGGGTTCGCGCAGTTGTTTGACCGGCACGACGATCCGGGAGAGACAGAAAACCTCGCACAGGATACAGACTACGGTGAAGTCATTGAAACGTGCCGAGAAAAACTGTTTACCCAAGAAGCGAGACTCCATCGGCAGCAAATCGTGCATCCGAGTCCAAAGCAAGTAATATCGAATTGGGGTGAGCGGTTACGAACATATTGGGAGAAAGACGAATAAAACATATTTTTTAATCTATGGGGTCTCTGCCCTGTACTCCATTCTATCGTTCTTTTGTAAGACTGGGTGGTAAGCCCGTAATGAAATGGAGGGCGGCTCGAACACGCAAACCGTTGAAACACAAACCGCTTTGTTTATCCGCAAGGGAAAATTAAAAGATGAATATATTTTCAAAACGCTTAAATCGACTCCCACCATACATGTTCGGCAAACTCAAACAGTTAACACACGAACGCCGGCAGGAAGGAATCGATATTATCGATTTGGGGATGGGCAACCCGAATCAACCGACCCCGCAACCTATTATTGATAAACTATCAGAGGCGGCACAAGAGCTCAGGAATCACCGCTATTCCGCTTCGCGTGGCATCTACAATCTGCGTAGGGAAGTCAGTTGGTATTATGAACGCCGGTTCGGTGTTGATATTGATCCGGATGAAGAAGCGATTGCTGTCATTGGCACCAAAGAGGGACTCGGACACCTCGCTTTAGCCTTGATTGACAACGGTGACTTAGCGATGGTCCCGAATCCGACCTTTCCAATTCACATGTACAGCATTGTGCTCGCGGGTGGAAGTGTTGTGAGCATACCACTGACGGAAGAGAACGATTTCATCCCCTCTCTCACCGAAATCACACGTGATATTTGGCCGAGACCCAAGGTGTTAATCTTAAGTTTTCCGCACAACCCAACCGGTGCTGTCGTTGACCTTGGGTTCTTTGAAGAGATTGTCGCGTTCGCGAAACGCCAAGAGATCATCGTGATCCACGATTTGGCTTATGCAGACATCGTTTTTGATGGCTACAAGGCACCAAGTCTCTTACAGGCAAAGGGAGCGAAGGACATCGGTATCGAATTTATCTCTCTGTCTAAATCCTACAATATGGCGGGATGGCGGTGTGGATTTGCAGCTGGAAATCGTGAGATTGTCGAGGCACTCGCCCGGATTAAAGGGTATTACGATTATGGGATTTTCGCACCGATCCAGGTCGCCGCAATTATGGCACTGCGTACCCCAGAGGATACGGTGATGGAAAACGCTGCCGTTTACCAAAAACGCCGTAATGTGCTTGTCGATGGTCTAAACAGGATCGGATGGAAGGTCCCAAAACCGCAGGCTTCAATGTTCGTCTGGGCACCGATTCCTGAAGCATGGAAGCACCTAAACTCCATGGAATTCGCCATGAAACTTCTGAGCGAGGCAGAGGTCTGTGTTTCTCCCGGCGCGGGATTCGGGCATAACGGCGAGGGCTATATCCGCATTGCCCTTGTAGAGAACGAAGATCGAATTCGTCAGGCAGTGCGTCAGATTCGGAAAGCGTTGTTCGGTTAAGATTGGCTCGTAACCATATTCTTTCCTTGTTAGGTGCGGTTTGAAACCGCACCTATAACGGAAAAGGTCTACGCGCCGCTATTCCAGTCCCCACTGTTCCTTGGCTTCCTCAAACGAAATCTTCTGGCTACCCGTGTGAGAGAGCGGGTTCTTGCCGACCCACCGCTCATCAATTGGATCCGCCTCGGGTTGGAAACGGATGTCACAACTGACTCGCCATCTATCGGAGAGATTCTTCGTAGAGGTATGCATCGTGTGCATGGTAAAGACGATGACATCCCCCATCTCGAAATCCGCTGTCTGCCACTCACCCCCATATTTTTCGCTGATCTCCATCGGATCGCGCCCGAAATGTCCAGGGGTGCCATCTTTGTCGACATCAGTCTTACCGTAAGTATCCCGAATCCGAGCGAAACTTGGGAGGTTATGCGACCCGGCAAGTACAGTCAGTGTTCCCATCGTTGCCGGCGCATCACTGAATGGGACCCAACAGGTGTGCAGTTGCTTTGAGCCTCTCCCCATATAAACGACATCGAAATGTGGTCCCGACCAACCGTCAGGACGGACGAACCGTAGCCACTTATAATCGAAGGTGCGGGTATCGCCGCTAAAGAAGTTTCGGAAGAATTTGAAAAGTTCATCCCCCTCCAAAACCGCCTGTACGTCTGGATGGTGCGTAACGGCGGGCGTGCCCATTGTTCGTCCAGGGCTTCCTCCACCGGCAACCGCCTCCATTATGTCGGTGCCGGACTTGAAAACGTCGTCTTTTCCGTTTCCATTGGCGTATTCAAGTATAGCCCGACGTCCCGCGACAACTTTTTCTTTATCGATTAAGCCACGAACGAGAAGATACCCGTCCTCTGCTATCTGTTTGTGCAAGCCTTCTGCTGAATCGAGCACAGCGTTACAGTCCCGAAGCACACCGAGATGTGGACCGGGAAAGGTAAGTTCATGGTCTCCCAGAAAAACATTTTCCGCCATTATTTTCCTCCAAATTGTACCTTAAGGCACAATTTATCTTTGCTTTACATTTAGAGACGGTTCAATCCGTCGCGCCCCAAGTTGAAAAAGTGCTTTGTTTGCTGGTGTCTCAAAGGTGAAAATGGGTTTGCCCCACGACACTACCATCTGTGCGAATTCCAAGATTTTGCTATCTTCGGCGGCGTGCGCGATACAGATTTTGTCCGCAAGTGCTGCAACAAAAGCGTTTCGTTGGTTTGCCAATGCTGCTGTCAACCGCCGATGGTGACTCCCAAAAATAGATAAGATCAACAGACGTTCTTCAGCTAATGCGTCTTTCCATGCTGGTTTCAGTCGCATGTTTTCGATGCTCCGGGCAGGGCATAGGAGAATCGGTTGCGAGCCACGTAGTAAAACGCGTAAGCATTCCTGCTCGACTGGGGAATGATACCCGCTGATCGTTGGAACACCTATTTCTTTAAATTTCTGTGCCAAATCGTGTGCTTTCAGAATGATCTCCCCCGGACATTTACTGGAGCAGAAGAATGCCCAGAGATCCCCATTTAGGGTGGTGTTTTGTCCAGGTAACAAGCCGATACTCCCACGTGCCCAGACCGTTTCTGGTGTCTCTGTCTTTAAATATTGCTCCAATCCTGCTGGATAATTCGTGTCTGTTTGTGTGATGCGTTGAATTGACTCCGCCACTTCCCAATCCTATATGATGATATTTAACGGCGTAATTAATAGAGTTTGAAGGTTATCTTTACCTTGTAAAAGCATCCAGATGTCAATCGTAATATTTTAACCCAAGTTGCTACTAACAAGTTTTGAACGTTTCAACAAGGTTTTTAGCACATTCTTCACCCCAGAGGGGTGCTATGTCTATAGAAAACGGCGTATTTAAGCTATCGCACTCCAGCGGAGTGCTATTGCTTTGCAGTAAGAATAAATAGGTGGCAACTTGCGTTATTTTAACAAAACTTGGTAATTAGTGCAAGCCTATAACTTATTGAACAGAAACATTCAACTTTCCACTCTATGAGTTCTCCAGTATGGTAGGTGTGGTTTGCAACCGCACCGAATCTGCACCAAGGTCCCGAAGTTATCCGATCTTTAGTCCCAGTGGGGCGAAATATGTATAAACAAACCTACGCCTTGAAAATGAAATATTCCTCCAGCACAAAAATTGGGATTGACGAAACAGCGAATACCTATTAGAATGCCGACAACACTCAGCATTTACAACATAGGCGACCCGACTTGTTTTACATGGAGGAAAACAAATGAGGAATCTGATGGCAGGTTTGACAGTTCTAAGATTCTGTATTAAAGGCATTTGTTTAGCGTTGTGTTTATGTGCGATGTCGCAGGCGGCGGAAGATCCCTCTTTGGTTCTATACTTCGATTTTGAAGAAGGCGGCGGCGATACAGTAAAAGATCGTTCGGACTATGGCAATGACGGAACCATAGAAGGGGATGCCGTGCGCGGTGATGGGAAAATTGGCAAGGGATTGGAGATTGATATTGGTTCTTTTGTCCTTGTGCCTGATTCCGATGATTTCAAGATCACAGATGAACTAACATTGGCTTGCTGGGTAAAACCTACCGCTTTTGCACCCGAAGCTTGGCAGGGAAATACCCTCGACTTCTTAGTTTGCCGATGGAATTGGGGGCAAGGCGATCACAGATGTTATGAAATGTACCTCCAATCTCACAAACCGGCTATGGTTGTTTCATCCGATGGAACAGATGGCGGAAGCTCCGTAGCTGCTGCCGCAGAGCCTATAGCACTTGACCAGTGGGTTAACATTATGGGTATCTTTGACGGCTCAAAAGTTAAGATCTATGTTGATGGTGAAGAAAAAGGATCGGAAGACCATAAAGGGAATATACTTGCCGGAGAGGGACCGATAGTCATCGGGGATAACAACTTTGGTGGGGCACCCGATTTTCATTTCGTTGGTGCTATAGACGAAGTTGCTGTCTACGATCGAGTGTTAAATCAAAATGAAATTGAGGCAAAGATCGCTCGGGGACACGCCGCGAGCGTTGAACCCGAAGGTAAATTGTCAACCGTGTGGGCCCACGTCAAATCCCGAATATCAAAAATTTTAGGAGTTCACTTATGAAAGAATATTTAGAGATACAAAAACCTGAACTCGGCTACACTTACGAGTTTGAAACCGATCAACTTTCCCTCGTGTCCGAATGCCTTGAGGCACACGGCTTTGCGATTATCAAAGATGTCTTACCTCCTGACTTAGTCGACAGTTTAAAACAGGCGGTCTTCGATGGCACAGATCCAAATAGGGAATTGGAGCACGGGCAGAGTGGTACCCGGCACGTTTGGATTGAGTCGGGACCCGGAGCTTGGCAGCTGCTCGGATACGAATCTTTTATGAAAATCCACCGACACCTGATTGGTACAAAGGAATTGACCCTCCACCGATCTGCCGCTATCATTCGGATGCCTGGGTCTCAGCCTGTTGCATGGCACACGGATTGGTGCGGATTCTCAACAGGCGCACCGAAAAATTCAGGGGATGTGCTGAATCGTGGACTCTGGCCCTCGGGAAAGTGGTTCTACCTGACAGGTTCTCGTCCAGAACACGGTGGGTTATGCGTAATAGAGGGTTCTCACGTGGAGAATTGGGAAGGTCCCGAAGGCTTCAACCTGACAGCGGACAGACGTTCCTTCTATAAGATCGGTGAAGAAGAAAAGGCTTATGTAGGTTTTGATATTCCGGGGTTAGTGCCATTTTTCACAAATCCGGGTGACATGATTGTGTTTGCGCATCGGACGTATCACGGCGCATTCCCGAACCAGATTGATGAAATTCGGCTGTCGTGCGGTGTCGGTTTTCGGAGTCGGGATCACCACATCGATATTCCGTGGGAGATTCCAGACGAAGGTAAGCAGTTTTTAGCAGACTTACCGCCACATCTGCACCAGTACACACACGGCTACACCAGCATCAATCTGAATTGGCAAGGATAAGGGTGCGTCAATTCCTGATAGACGCGCCTTGGTGAATTTTAGGAATTGGACTACGAGGCAACCTCTTTCTGTAGGAGCGAGCTGTGCTCGCGATTCCGGCAATTAGTGCAAAGTTACGCAAAAAGCCGACGGTGTGTCTCAGGTGGTGCCCCGTTTTGGAGCCAAGTGATGGGTTCCTCTTCTGTCCGGTCAGGATTCACCCAGATAATGTGCTGGATTTCGCTAACCTGTTGAGAGACACGTGTGAAAAGTTGTCGGATAGTTTCATCAAGCGAGATGATAGTTTGATCGGTTTCCAATGCCGCTCCGAGGAGATGTAAATCTTTTCGCAGGGCTTCAAGGTCTCTTTCTCCAGTTGCCGTTCTTTCAATTTCGTCGGACAACGCCGTGTTTTGGGGAGGTCTGGCGTAAACGAATCTCTTTCTGGCAATCATCGATTTTAGCCATCTGGCTGAAAAATTCGATTGATGCTCATTCCATTCCGCGGATAACTCAGATGTCATCACAACATAGTGTGAGGATTCATCTCGAAAGGTTTCAAGAAATTCGGTGCAATTGATTGATACGGACGCAGTCGCTCCTTCACCACCGGCAGCACGAGCAACCGAGGCATTCACAACGAGTCGTTTTAAACCCCTTGAGCGCATACTATGTCCCTTCAACGAAACGCGACTGCGCTACCTTTATGTAACGACTCTGTGCTTTAAGATCAACATCATCAAAATCCTCGGGCCACTCTCCGTAAGCTCCTGCCTCGTCTAAGTCGGCACTGTTGACTTCAGTGACACCATCCTCGCGTCGTGTGAACCAATGCAGCTTCACTAATTCCGGCGAGAGACCCCCTTCTGCAACGAGTGTTTGAATTCCTAAAAGCAGAAGTGAACTATGCGTTTCGACGACGACGCGGACTCCCCGTTTCGCCGCATCCGCTAACACTGGCGCCAACGCGACTTGCGCGCGCGGGTGGAGGTGCAGCTCAGGCTGCTCAAGATAGACCAGTTGCCCCGGCTCCGCAACAATCAATGCCGCTAAAACGGGTAGGACTTGGGATACGCCCAATCCGACATCGGTGATGTTAACCATGTCCGCTTCGTTAGTTCTGTCATGCGGGAGGCGACCAACTCGAACTTCAATACCGACATCACCAACTTTTTGAGTGCGAACTTGTCCAGCCAAGCCGAGTGCGTGAAGGGTATTAGCAACCGTTTTCAAGTGTTCGTCTTTCGTCTCCTGCCACTCGTGAATGATGCTCGCAACGTAATTTTCAAACGTGCCGGGATACGGGGGACCGGTGTTAGTAAGTTTGTAGATGCGTTCTGGATTACCTCGTAAGCCAGGGAGATGGATGGTTTCGAGAATATTGGACTCAGGGTCATTGATGAGTTTAACAGTAGTATCAAGGTTTAACTTAGAACTGCCTTGAGATGCCAAACGCAAAAAACAGCGTGAACGTTTTACCCTATCAACGCTTGCAACCCTGAGAATCATATATTGGTCAGTCAGTGCCTTGATTTTTTCAGGAGGCATTTCAGGATATAAGGTAAGATCCTCAGGAAACACCGGTGAATCATCCCCTGATTTTCCTTTGCTCGTCATTTCAACAATTTCAATCCCGCCCGGCCCCTTTTTGAAAGTTATCTTTATTGAGTGAGAAAAGTTAGATATACTTGTGTCAATCCCAATCTGAAAACGGTCTGTCCCTTTCTCGCCGGATAATGTGGACAAAAATTGGGATACCTCAGTAAATCGAACATTCGGTCCATCAATCAGCAACGGCCCCGGATCATAGAGTGCCTCCAGTGTCTGCTTCAGCAGCAAGAGGGGCTGCATGATGCTTGACTTCCCAGAACTGTTCGCACCGGCAAGAATCGTCAACGGACGAATATCAATCTCACACTCCTCCGCTATCGACTTGAAACCCTTCACTGCTATCTTGGTTATACCTTTGATCGTTTTTTCCGACATGTAGGTCCTACTTCCTATGTTCACGTAGTTAATCACGCAATTAATCACGCAATTAATT